GGCGGCGGGCGGCTCTGCGCCGAGGAGACTGTGAGCATCTGAGGGCTCTCGGCGCTAGTCTCGGCTGTCGCTCGGGCGGAGAAGGCGACTGCTTAAGAGCTGGAGAGGCGGCGGCCACGGTAGCTGCACTCGGCCCCGTCTCGGGCGCCTTCTTCGCCACCCACCCCCATCCGCCTTTGCAGACGGTTTACAAAAAAACTTTGCTTTGCACTCGGAACCCCCGTTTTCACACGGACCCGAGCGTGACAAGGCCCTCACGCTCCGCCCACCTAGCCCGGTACGCTCCCCTATTGGTCAGGATCCCTCACGACAGCCGCCCAGCCCCACCTATCACATTCGCTATTGGATGGTTGCTCGTTGGGGCGGGAGGGGGCGGGTCACACCGCCAACCGATGGGGGCGGGGCTTTTTCTTGCCGGAGCGGGGCGTGGGCCGGGGGCCGCGGCCGGGTGCAGCGTCGGGCGTCATGGGGGAGGGTAGGGGGCTCGGGCCGCGTGCAGCGGGAAGGCGGTGGAGAGGGCGGGGCCGGTGGGGACCCTCTGGCGTCGCGGAGCCCCAGCTTCTGCACTGCGGGTACCCGCAGCCCCGCACGCACCTGCGGGCTCGGGGCAGCGTTCAGACTTTGAGCTCCGAGTCGAGTCCACTTGGGGGCGGGCCGCGCAGCCAGGGCCGGGAGGGGGAGCCCCGGCGTGCGGGGCCCTTGGGTCGCCCTCCCGTGAGAAGAGCCTGAGAGAGACTGGGCCGACAGACAGACTCATAAACAAGTGCCGCCTGTGACTTGTGACTGGGCTGCACCGCACGGAGAAGTTAGCTGCTCCACCCCCACCCCGGCAGGCCAGTCTCGGGACTCGTCATAACGTGTCGGTGAAGCCGCGCTCACTGTCATCAGCGCGACCATCCCGGGAAATCGTGTGTAAAGCCAGTTATCCCTATCGCTGGACATCTTAGGGTTCACACTGCGAGCAGGAGCAACCTGGGTGCACACCTGGCTTCTGGCCCTTGCTTTGTCACTAACCGACCAGCCCAGTGACTTTGGGCAAGTCGCCTGCTTTCTATAAGCCTACTGCTTTATAAAGTAAGATTAGACAAGAGATTCCTTTGGACTCGAAAATTCTAAGGCTCTGTGATTTAACAAACATCTACTTTATAGACTACAAACTATTTGGGGGGAGAGTGTGGAGCAGTAGGAAGCAAAAGAATGAGCTGTCCAGGTGAGGTTAAAATAGAAACATTAAAAAAAATTTTAATTAGGGTAAAATACTCCATATATTGTGCTAACACTGGTTTCCATTTTCACTTGGATCCACAATCAACATCTATGGAAGAAGCAGAAAAGAAGTCCTCTCTAGGGTATGAAAACTGCAACTATAACACTTGGACCACTAAGGTGACCCTGACACAAGCCATGGTATTTTCAATCACCTCATATGCTTTCAAAAGCTGGACAATGAATAAGGGAAGCCATAGAAAAGGTGATAACTTTGAGTTATGGCGTTGGTGAAAAATATTGAATATATAAATCATAGGCTTCCAGAAGAATGAAAAATCCAACTTGGAAGTAGTCAGGATCCTCCTTAGAAGTGAGGATGACCAGACTTCTGTTTCGTGTGCTTTGGGCTTGTCATCAGAAGAGACTAGTCTGTGGGAAAGGACATTGTGCGTGGCAAAGGGAGGGTCAGTGAAAAAGAGGAAGGCCCTCAGAGTGACCACCGCAATGGGCTCACACAGAGCAAGGGTTATGAACATGGTGTAGGTCTGGGCATGGTTTATTCTGGTGTCGATGGGGTTTCTCTGATTCACAAGTGACTTGACCAGCAATAATACACCCCGAGCCCTGGTAGCTGAATAGTTAAGCACTTGGCTGCTAACCAAAAAGTTGGCAGTTTGAACCTACTCAGCAAGAAAGACCAGGTCATCTGCAAAGAATATAGGCTATAAAACCCCTTGGAGCAAGTCTATGCCGACACCTGAGTCAATCAAATCCAGGGCATCCAACAAGTTATACCTCTACATTGTGCTCTGAGTAGGGATAACTTATTCTGGAAGTGAAGACTTTCTCACTGAAGAGTGTTGCTAAGGTGACCAGATTTTAACATTGGTAAAGTGGGACACCAGTGATAAAACTCATATCCTGGAGAAATAGCCACATGGCAGCCGAAAACCATATACCTGAGCTTGTCGTGCATTCTTTCCAAAAATCGGGACTTTTAAAAAACGCAGTGGGATGTGGGAAAAATTGTTAAAAATTGGGACTGTCCCGCCAAAAGTAGGACGTCTGGTCACCTTAGTGTTGACTGGAGTCATCAGCGAGACCTTGAACACCGAGGAAGGACCCCAGCTGCTCTGGATTTCTGTAAGACACATGCATTGCTTCGGGATCTGCATGTAAAGCCTTGTTTGGAGCTATGTTATTTGGTAACATGATATTCAATTTTGCCCCCACTTGCAGCCGGGGTGTGCTTCGCATCTCCTCAATCCAGACCAGGGAGCCAGATCCTTATGCTCTGCTGGAATAGGAAGGAATGGATAAAAGTTTCTGAGACATTATGAAGGAGGAATTGATGAGATTTGGTGACCAAATAAGGAACCCTAGAGGTGAAATTGGAACCCTGGTGGCATAGTGGGGTATGTGATCGGTTACTAACTGCCAGGTCAGTAGTTCAAAACTACCAGCTGCTCCTCTGAAGAGGAGGCTGACTGTCCCCGTAAATGTGTACCTTTTAGGAAACCCTTTATAAAGTGGCTATGGGCAGGAATTGACTCCATGGCAGTGGGTTTGATTTGGTGACATGGTAGTGAAGCAATGGATTGCTCACCAAAAAGTTAGTAGTTTGAACCCACCAGCTGCTCCTTGAGAGAAGGATGGAGCAGTCTCTCTGGGTAACGATTTACCACCTACTCCATCGAGTCGATTCTTACTTAGAGGGCAGAGTAGGTCTGCTCCATAGCATTTTCAAGACTTTAAGCTTTCATGGGACTTGATAGCCTCATTTTTCTTCTGAGGAACAATAGCTGGTGGATTTAAACATTGGGGTTAACAGCCCAACACATAACCCATGGAGCCTTACACTTTAGGAGACCCTGTGAGGCAGTCTTGTAGGTACTACAAATCAGAATTTAATTAGCTGCATTGGTGTGTGTGTGTGTGTGTTCAG